TTGTTCATATTTGGAGAATTAGCACCATTAAAAGTTTGCCAAATTAGGATGTACAGACAACTATCACATTACTTGATACTGAGTTAATAGGAGATATTGCTATACTTGGGAAGTCGCACTAATCTGCTATAATTTCTGAGTGTTCACATTTGACTGGTGTATAACCATGGAGGAGTTTGATGTTTTTGACGCAAATTCTCTGGCTTATAACAATGTTTACACATATTTTGTAACGCACGTCATACATTTAAGATGTTACAACTCTTTTGTTGTTCCCATCAGTGGCTGGCTGGCTACCATCACCTTCTTCAGCACCAACATTGGCTCAGCTGTGGTCATGCTGATACCACCATCATGTTTACTGCGGTGGCTGTCCTCTCCACCATCGCCCTCACAAAGGTGACATATACATTTCTGCTTCTTTCAGTAAAAAAAAATTAAGCTTCTTCTCCAGAAGCAGAAATGAGCAGTGTGTGGGCTCATGGGTAAAAAGGCTCTTTAAAGTTGAAATGTTTTTCTTAGGAAATATTAACTATAATGGTACTGTACAGTTATTACACGATTATACTATTTTGCATGATTATTTACATATAAGAGGATAAGGTTTTTTTGAAATTTGTGGAAAATGCAGCTAAGCTTCAAACCTCTGGGTGGGCGTTTTACTTGGCAGTGATCGACTGACATTTTAGGTCCGGTGTTGCTAGGAGACCTGTTGTCAACTTCCGTGGTGTGCTACTAACTGGAGAACGTCATCACCTTGTAGCCCACATACACTGATACAAAACACTTATTCTCTCCCTATCTTCTATTAAATTCACATAGCTTTGGTTATGGACCCATGGTGCTGCTAAGTGTATTCCGAAAATTCGATAATTGTGAGCTAGCTAACTAGGCTACCTAGCTTCAATTCGGAAAGTGAAAGCTAATGAACTTGGCTTGCTAACAATTCCCACGAGAAGGGAGTGCTAACTTACTTTTTGTTCTTGTTATTTCAACACCTGCTGAGTTACACTCGGTGTTGTGCCACATTGTACAAAGCATAGAGTCTAGCTAGCATTAGCTGTATCTGTCTTTCATGGGTCCAACTGTTGTGATGGCAAATCATCAGACTGTTAAAACTTGAGTATGAGTAACTTACATTTACATTACATTTACTCATTTGGCAGACGCTTTTATCCAAAGCGACTTACATTTGAGGAACAACATACAAGCATCAACATAGAATCAAATACAGATCTACAACTGACAATAAATACTAGTAAGAGCTCATAGTACATATCGCATCAATGGGGTAAATACCTAGGAAGGAAGTAAGAGTTAACAAAAAGTGCAATCAATCAAGATCATTGTAGGGGATAGAAGAAGAAGAGCACAGGAAGTGCATGTTAGAGGTTAGGAACTTGTATAAGTCCTGGCAAATTCACGTGGCACTTAATGCTAAAGTGCCTGAAAACCAAACCAATTTGGAGGCCCCACATCAGCTAAAGGTCATTGTTAAGTGTAATTAAACTGGATATATGGTGCTATATTGTCAATGCACTGTATTTAAATCCTCAACAACCAACTCCATAAAATCATAACTGTCTTGATGACGTCAACACTTGCAAGTTGTTAACATGGCAACTTGTCCCATCTTTACCTGCCTCACTTGAATTCAGTTCACTTTGATTAAAATGAATAAAATAACATACTTTTACGATTGCAAATGCTGCAGCCTCCTCTGACGGCATTTTCACAAGTTTGAAAATAGGTTGATGGTACCTCCACCTCCGCTTCGTAGCTAAGATGGCGACCAATGAGGGTGAAAAGAGTCCAGCATTCCACGCTCAACTTTTTCACCATTGAGTAAACCATCCGGGTACCGGAAACCGGACTTATTTTGTAGTAGTGTAACCGGATGTTGTATATTGATCATTGCTAACGTGACCGGATGTTGCATATACATTGTTGCTAACTTGACCGCAGAGCTTTACATGTCTAAAAATTATGCAAAAGGGGTACCCAAGGCATTAAAAAGCGACACCAAGGGGTCTTGATGAAGCGTCCATACGTGACAAGTTGGGAGGGAAAATCTGATGTCAAATCACAGATGGGACTAGCAAAGGCTAACGTCCATCACCTGGGTGCATTGCTACCAATATGGCTGTTGGAAGTTAAGTGATAAATGGACTATTTTTAACTCATCAATTAAACAATTAAAGTACCGACATCATCAGTGGTACAAAAAATTCATGCCCTCTAGAGAACACTAATGTAGGGGCGGCAGACAAATTAATAATAAATAAAAAAAACTTTACTTATTTGCAAAAAGAAAATTTATTTCATTTCCATTTTAATTCTGTAAAACATTAATTTCCTGAAGCACAGTAACAATGCTAAAGTACCTTTACTTTGCAGGTTCATAACTTCTACCGTGGCAGTGGTGGCAGCTTGGGTAAGGCCCAGGAGGAGTGGACCACTGGGGCCTGGAAGAACCCCCACGTCCAGCAGGCAGCTCAGCAGGCAGCCATGGGAGCTGCACAGGGAGCTATGCAGCAGAACCAGTACTCAGCAGCACCCACCTACAACTACGACGACCCAATGTAGGACAGAGGAGGGGGACCACACTGCCGTGTGGGAGAGATACAAGGGATCAATTAAGAACACATTTCAGAATTAGGTGCCCTTCATTATAACATTGTACAAGCTGAATTTAAACAGAACAATGTAGAGAAAAGTCAAGTTTGGCCTATTGAATTCTGATATACGTGGGAGTTAATAGTCAGTTACATTTAAACCAGCAGCCAGTTATTAAAGAGCTGTTGTCTGTTTTTTTAATCTCTAATGCTGCCCAATTTTAGCTGGTAAATGTGTGTGTTGCTTTCCAACGGAGACACATAATATAGCTAAAACCAACAAGCCTCTGCCCTTGTCACACTTTAAAATCATCTTTTAACTACCTTAAATATGTTTTTTTTTAATGTACTGTAGTAGCTACATTGTTAGAAGTGTTTATTTTAATTCGCCTTGAAGGTCACAACATTTGCCCCTCAGTTGCTGTACTGTTGTTGTTTGCCACTCAGCTGACAAGTGTCATATACAACATGTCCAAAAAACATGATTTCCCATTAAAGCAATGGATTGACAGTTTGGGAAATTCACCAATTTGCTTTCATGCTGTGAGTTAGATGAGAAGACTGATATCCAGCAAGGAAGAGTGGAATTCCAGCAAGAAAGCAGACAGTGTCAAGCTATTCCTTTAAGTTTAGGGTACAATTCAACCATATTTATTTGGGAGGATTGTTATCCTTTAAATATTGGCCAAGAAATTCAACGTCTTTTTCTTACTCTGTATGTAAACTTTGTTACTTTTTTGTTGAAAAAGAAAAAGTTGAACTTGGCCAAAATCTCGACAATTGAATCAGCATTTCAAAATATAGCAAAATCTAATCAAAATTAAATAATTTGTCTCTAAAATCAGAAGACAAATTAGAAGGTACTGGGAATATTTAAATCCCATAGAAAACCTTTGACAGTTAGTGTTTTGGTGACCTGATGATGTTTTGTTTTTTTTACTGATCTGCGTCAGTGAACCTTTCAGACTAATTTAACATTTCCTTTACATTCTCAGGAAAGGTGTGACAGCTGGTTTTAAGTTCTACCTGTAAATCCCTTTCAGTGTCAACATACCGGGCTTTTGTCTCCTTTTATCACCATTATTCAAACATTCGGGGTGTTTAGTTTCGCCAGTACACACTGGTTATGTGTTTAGCTGGTTGATTTCAGTTAAATTAATTATTATTACATATTAAAGTGAAGCACATGCAGTATTTAGGATTGCAGCTCATTGGAAAAAACATTCCAAATTAATGTTGTACAGGTTAAATGTGAAAGAAAACCTTAACACTTGCAGTTTGGAAAAACAGTAAATATTAAAAATCATTGTTGTAGGTGGTCATAGCATTGTATGAAGTGATGGATGTTCTCCCCCTTTGGCAAATTCTCCCACTTACCCCTACATGTAAATGCTTAAATGACTTACTTGTTTCTGAAGCTCTGGATTTCAGGCCTTAGTGTGTCATTTCGTGGCTGTTGGTGTTATTCCATGAGTAGGTGTAATATGATATTTAAAAAAAGAAAATTCAAGCCATTTATTTCTTTATGAAGTGAAATTGAAAGAGAGGATATTTGTGTGTAGCCCTCGTGAGGCCTGACAGTGTCATTTTGATTTCAGTGGAAAGATGTTTGCCTCGTGTCACTCAAGTCTTGTTTGAAAACTTCTTCAAGATTCAGTAGATGGTTATTACAGTAATACAGTATTAGACTTGAAACAGATGTGAAGATCAGTATCCGAGTGCTCGTTATTTCAAAAACCTGTGAGTCGTCTTGTCTGATTGTGATGGTGTGGTATTCAATAGGCTGTTTGTTGTTTTACTTTTTTGTTGTTGTTTTTTGTACCACCCTATTTTTTGTTTGTGTCTATTTTGGATGATGTATGGATGAGCACATGTTCGGTGTGTCTTTCCATGGCTGTGGCTAACAGTTTTTTTGTTGTTTTTTTTACTTTATGGAAATTTTTAAGTCACTTTTGCACTGGGTTACCTGTTGACATCAGTGCAAACTTAATTCACAGTGAATCACAGTGGAGCAATATTAACATAGATATATTTAACTGTAGAATTATTAGGATCAATTGGGATCCTGTTGTGCAGGCTTCAAATATAGACATGAATAGCAAACGGATCATAACATAAAAGTGTTTTGAATTTTAAAATGGGCCTGTTTTTAAGTTGGACAACACTATTATAATTTAACAATCGCATAACATTTTCACCAGCAGATGCACATACAGTAGTTATGAAGTATAACCCTGTAAACTGTACCATTCACATGCTCATCTGTGAGCAAAAGTATTGCTGATCAGTTCTTTAGATTAAGTGTAAAGTGTGTACAAAGATGAACAAGCACGCTACTTTTCTCTGTGTGTAGTGAGTTACCATGGTCTTTGAAGAAATTTGGCCCTGTCCAGACTTTCTACCATGTGTACATACAGCACAGTTTATTTGATTATGGAAATTACATCTGTATAGTTCTCGTGTAGCAAGAACTGCACTGCACTGGACAGCTATTACTCTGCATTTCACATCGCTGTATCAAAGCTTCTGAAAGCCATTCCCCATTAACTCCCCTATGTTTCCACATATATTGTAGGTTGTATTATGATGTACCATATCTTAACTAGATATAATATATAAGTACTTGAGGTGAGGGAAATATTTGCCATGGATAAACACATTCTGTAGAAACATGCTCTAATGAGGTGAGTGAAACGTTTGAGGAGGCTGTGTCTCCATGAATGAAGTAAATGAGGAATACATTTTTGTGTATTACTTTTGTATTATTTGGTCTTACCCTAATAGATATTAAACAATTCTTGTTGCATCCTGGTTTGTCATTTGATGAGTTTGCATACAGGTCTTCTGCATATGTTCACCAGAATTTCCCCATTATTGCTGCAGATGTAGAACCACAAATTTCCATATTAGGGGATTTTTAAGTTTGAAAGCATGAAAAAAGACTTTTAACACCAAAAAGCAATTGACTTTTAATGTAATTTACATATTGAAACACACAGCTAATACACCTGTCTATCCAAATAAGGTTTCTAAGCTTCATTAACCAAATTTGAATGGTCAATTCGTGCCCTTGGTTAAAATGCTAAAGTGCGCGTGACTCTTGATGAATACTCATGTGTTGGTAAAGTGTTGAATCATTTCAACAAGAACTCTTGACACCTCTTATGAATATTTTGCTTCTGAGGACAGAATGATCTGCATCTTGAAAATAGGTTACAAAATTCAAGACAAATATTTTGTATATATATTGTACTTACTGTTCCTCTGAATTGTCAGCTCAGCAGCAAGTTGGTAGGAATATTTTACGCAACACAAATCAATTTGTTTCAGTGCTAGAACCTGCCTTATTCTGTCTTGTTTCAAGATACAGAATTTGTTTTTTCAACAAGTGGATTTAAATTAAAAAGCAGGTTGAACTATTCTTACTGCACTGCAAAATTAGATTTATAGGACTCAATTAGACACAGAAATGTCTTCACATGAATTAGGGGTTTGCAAATTACACTTAAAATGTTCTCCACTTAGACTAACAAAAAAAATGATGCTGCTCACACATGAATCCTTTCATTAAAGTCCTATAATACATATAACACAAGGAGCCATTTTGTTACAGTGCTTTTGTTACATTATATACATTTTGCCAAAAATACATCTGAGCTTAAGATTTTGAACACAGGATGTAAATGAAAGGAGTATTTGTAGATTGTTGTGTCAATCAAGTTTTTTTCCCCTTTGTGATGCTTGTCATTGTAAATGCATACTATGCAGTGGTAAATAACATTGTTTTATTCAACTTTCATGCTAAAATATTACATCATTCAGCACTTCCCCATATTTTTCTTTGCAGCTCTGAAGAATTTAAATGAGATCCTAAACGAAAGTCTTTGATGTGGCTTTGCATCACCTATTCATCTGTAGGTGAAACTGTGTGATAATTAGTCACCTTACACGAACAACACTTAACATACATAACGTTACATAACCAAATCAGTATGACAGTTTGTATCAGCAGTAACTTTTTATTCACTTAATAAAATATCAATATCAGCCCAATACAAAGTAACAGTGCAAACTCAGTCTAGTGACTCAAATAACACACAGGGAAACCAGTAAAACGGCAATAATCTTAAAATTCTTTATTCATAAACTTGATGCAAGTTTACAAATTACTGTACATGGTCAAAATTTCTTCAAATGGAAAATGAAAAACAAAATAAAACCAAAACGAGCTAACGGTGCCAGATTTGATCATCTGTTTGTTGGTGCCAGTAAATGAATAGACAATTGAGACAAATAGATCTTTTCAACACACAGTCCAGTTAAAGTAGCGTGCAAGTCTATTCACCACGGCATGACTATCAAACTTCAAACGTCTCTTAATATCCCCTCTGACCAGAGTTTTGGCATTTACGAGGGAGTCTCACACAGGTCGATAAAGGCTGTGTAGCGGCAGAGGTTGTACTCAAAACTTCAAAAAGTTTATGGTCCAACTTTCCTGTGCCGCCAGACAACACAGGCCCTTTAGAGGTTCTTCTTGATGATAACTCCTCCTCCCTCAGCCCCCCCTTAGACATGTAACAACAGGACATGTGCTGAGGAAAAAAAACAAACAAAAAAAAACATGTTTCCTGATTTAAAACATGTTTGTCGTTATACTTGACCTCTCCAGGCTTGTTGCCAGTTGTGCAAATATTTTTATCTGGAATATTTAAAGATCACATACTGAAATCAAACCTACTTCAGTACTTGTGAGGAACAAAGCAAAAGCAAAATAAAAAAGGGTTTTTTTTTTTGTTGTTTTTTAAAAAAATACTACAGTGGGTATTGATGAGCGATTACATGTGTCATCATGCTACTGCAATCCTGTTACAATGGCATCTTTCTGTAAATGTCCTTCCTCTTGCATCGCCTGAATTAAAAGAAACACGTGGCCCATATTATCGTAAAGCTCACTGCATTTTCTGTTTCTGACATCGAAATCAGTGGGTGACAAAAGCCTAAACATCA